TTTCACGTGTTTTCCATTATAAATTCATGCCATCTATTTGTATTGTAGCTTTGATACTTTTTTAACTAATTAAATTTTAATTTTAACTAAACATTTATGAGTCCACAATTTTAATCAAAATTTTGAGAATAAATTTCATCAATTTTTATTAAAGTTTAATAAAAATAAAATAAAATTGACACACGATCCCTACATATGTGACTGTGCAATTTATCCTATTCGGAGCAAACTATCCATAAGACAAATATTTTGATCGTGTGGATGAAATCAAACTCGTGGCAGAATTTCGTTTTCTTCATTATGTGTTTCGTCTTGATTGAAGATTTTTATTGGGGTTTTGACATTGCACCTAGATATTATGACTCGAATTATTATTATTTTTTCTTCGAGGAAGCAATCACGAGAATAAAGATGAAACACGAGACATAGTGAGAGGTAAAGGATAGCAGAAAAAAAATCAAATATTCAATTGATCAAGCCTAATGATTGAGAGAATCATGAAATCTCTCTTATCTAGACTACAAAGATAGATTAGACGAATATTTAATCAAATTTAATAGTTTAAATTATTAGATCAAATGCCTTAATATGGCTTCGAATCTCATTTAAGTTTTAACAAGTATTTTGATCAGAATAAAACTAAAAAATGAGTATGAGAATTTCAAGATTAATTTGTTCAAACAAACTACCATTTTCTAGTGACATAGTAAGAGATAAATTTCATAACGATTAATTACTGAAATATAGACAAACATATGATATTTTAAGATGAAACTTCAAATTGAATAAGGTATCAGATGTGTTCAAGTCTCTCTAAATTATGCACATGTTAAGTTTTTGAAGGGAATTGGCACAATGATTCCAAACAACCCTCAAAGTTGGATTGTTGACCAGTTGACTGATTCTTTATTAAATTGGGGCAAAGTCATGTTTCTAAAAATTAGATGAAAGCCGAGTTTAATTTACCTGTTTGAATGGAGGCTCATGATGTCGCCAAGTGTCAGCTCTACGAACGTTGGATGAAGATGTTTGGGTGACTCATATAAAAGGCTTCCTAGGGTTTCAACGGTGAACTAGGCTTTCGATATTTTCTCTAAAACTCTCTTTGCGCCGTTCGAGTTCTTTCTACTCTCCTTCTCTCTGAAATCATACCTCTCTTTTGATTTTTGTTTGCTCTCACAATATTGTAATCTTGAGTGATTTCTACTTGTGAAGACTGTTGTGTTCTCGTGTGAACGTCTGTATTTGAGAATAGGCTGAGTATTGTGATATAAGGGGTTTAGTCTGAATGTCGTAATTCCTATCATTATTACCTTGGTTGCGATTTCACTTGAACTGATGGTTGTTCTTCAGTGGTTGAGGCACTGATTGATTGTTTTTGGGCTTGAGGGCTTTGATTATTAAAATCTATTTACTCGTCATGTTATCTTTGTTCGATTTACTTTATATTTTGTTGTTCTTGAGCTAATACTTTGTGTATCTCATCCTAACAATGGTATCAGAGAGTTTGAAGGAGGTTCTTGATACTGTGTATCGTCGATCTTGACACTGTGACTACTTCTTGAGCTGCACTTCGTGTTTCTTGAAACCCTAATAAGGGGATCTAGTGAGATCTTACTTGTTTGACGGTTTATTGTACAAATCAACTTTTAATGCTCGTTTAATATTCTCCGCCCCGTATTTTTTTCAAAACCCGATTCTAGGCCTCTTGGTAATTCCTTTGTCCAGAAACCCTGAGAGTTGTTTGGAATCTGAGGGTTACCTTGAATTCAGTCAAGGATCTTGATAATTCTTATTTTCTGAAAATCTTCTACTGTAATATTATATACACTTGATTGATCCTTGTATATGATTTG